GGGGGGGAGCCACCATGTAGAGGCATACAGCTTGGGGAACTTAAATGTAAGAAAACGCAAAACATGCACATTTGAGTTAAGATTTCTAAAAGGAAATACCCTCCATATGCAGACACACTAAGGGCAAGGCAGACCTAAGAAAGGGAGTTGTAAGATTAGAAAAAATGAGAGATAAGGAATTATCAATTAAGGGATTTCACTGGACCAAAATCGGACCTCTCACTCTTATCTGTGGGCTGCCTAGAAGTTTGCATCCATCCTTGACTTCTGCCTCGGGAGTTTTGTAATCTCAGCCTCATGAACAGCACTTACACGTGCTCTTAGTTACTCCACTCACTTCAGCACGTTTGAGAAGTCTTCCCCAAATGTCAGCTAGAAAACCAGTTTACAGCTCACAGGGCTTTAAGGCTAGTTTGTTTAATAATAAGCTATAAAGCATACTAAATCTAAATGGTAAATACTATGTTAAAAATACAGTACCTGCTTTACAGCAAGTGATAAACATACTGATGAGCAAAACTAAGTAATTCCCAAAGTCACATTCATGCCATCTTCATTCAATTTTGAAGATAACTGGCCATTCTGGTATTTCTCTTGGCATTATCCCACCTTGCCAGCAACTGCTTCCATCTGTTCTACAAGGAGACTAAGTTTTGGTCAGATGTCTCTCAGTAACCCTAAGCAGAAATTCTCTTCCTCATTGTGTGCAGACGGCTGTGCTATCTCACTTATCTGACAGAGGGCTGAAAGCTGCACCTGTCTGCAGTTTGTCAGCTGGCTGGAGCTTCTCTGAGATGTTAAAATCTTACCTCAAATATTTACCTGCAACTGGTGTTTATTTTGCCAGAAAATCCTCTAAACTTGGGATTATTTGCAGTGCATGGGAATGCAAAGTAACTTCACAAGAAATGTGTTCTCAATAGTTACTTCAACATCTCAACCATGAACAAAAAAAAAACCTTCCTTAGGTATGACCAGAGTGGTGTGGTCCAAAACATGCCTTAGAGAAGCATGGCCAGCAGGTCGAGGGAGGTGATTTTGCCCCTTTACTCTGCTCTCATGAGACCCCACCTGGAGCACTGCGTCCAGCTCTGGAGCCCCCAACAGAAGAAGGACATGGATGTGTTGGAGCGGGTCCAGAGGAGGGCCATGAAGATGATCAGAGGGCTGGAGCACCTCTCCTGTGAGGACAGGCTGAGGGAGTTGGGGCTGTTCAGCCTGGAGAAGAGAAGGCTCTGGGGTGACCTTAGAGCAGCCTTCCAGTACCTGAAGGGGCCTACGGGAAGGATGGAGATGGACTTTTCACAAGGGTGTGTAGTGATAGGACAAGGGGAAATGGCTCTAAACTAAAAGAAGGCAGATGTAGATTAGATATTAGGAAGAAATTCTTCACCATGAGGGTGGTGAAACACTGGCACAGGCTGCCCAGAGAAGCTGTGGCTGACTCCTCCCTGGAATTTTCAAGGCCAGTTTGGATGGGGCTTCGAGCAACCTGGTCTAGTGGAAGATGTCCCTGCTCGTGGCAGGGGGGTTGGAACCAGATGATCTTTAAGGTCCCTTCCAACCCAAACCATTCTATGATTCTATGGGCAGGGAAAACATAAGAGAGGAACAGAATGCAGACCTTCATACTTCACTACTTAAGAAGTCAGCACCAGAAAAAATGGCAAACTGCACCCTTATTCCAAGGTACTCTTATTCTCTGACAATCTAATATACGTAGATGCTATTTTATTCCAAAGTACCTGAACAAACAGATCACAGCCACAGAAGGTCAAATCTGGAGTGTCCATCAGGTTAATCAGCAGCTGACTAGATGTAATGTTTAGGTGCTACTCTTTATATACTGGAGACAGGTCAGACGCACAGTAAGTTATATCAACTGGTGTTTCTCCAAGACAGTAAGCATGTCCTTACCTTAATTCATTATGGTAAGATTTTTTTTAAAAAAAGAATGGGGGTCGGGAAGTGACATACAGCCTTGTCATAGTCATAATTGGATATGAGGACAACTGAGCATCTCTGAGGCAGTTCTCTATGTTCTGTTTAGGCTTATCTCTTCCAAAAGGGAAGAGCTAGGAAAGGCAGAACATACAGATAAGGATTATCCAAAATTGTCATTAGAGATATCTGAAGAACAAAATTATGAACAGGGCCTTCAGAGCTGAACTGTACTGAGGTGTGTAGGTAGATGATCTCGCCTCCGTGTTTTTTTCATAGACCCACACACTTGACAGAAGAATGAAATAAGCAGCCTACAGTTTGCAAACATGAATCAGTCATCTGCCCCCAAGTACAGGAAGACACTCAAGTTGGTATGATTTAACTAAACACAAACCATTTCAAGTGCTTCACCCAAGTGTAGACATGCTTCCTGTTATTCCCAAATAGCGCCATTCTTCAGTTTTCCAAAACAAAGGACAGGAACATTCTGCTATCGGTCCTCACCACTAAAAATACAGACTACAGCTGCAGCTGCCTACAGGCACTTCCTTTCTTTATTCTGCAGCATAAATTGCTTACAGAGAACTCTTGTTTAAGACTTGCTAGAGCAGAATAGAGCAACACTTACGTAGGTTCTCTACGACCGCCTGCTTTTAGCCACTAATTCCCATCAGCCAAGTGGATCAACAGTTAAACTCAGTCCTTTGGGCAGCCAGTGCTACATCATGAATTAAAACACGAGAAAGCTTGGAGCAAGAGTCAACAAAATACTCATCTGACTGATCACCATTTCTTATTTAGAGACATGCTGTCCCCTTTTGATAAAATCTGGGTCCAGCAGAGATTTATTACTTTCTGTTCCAGCCTGCTTTCAAAGTCCCTAGCATGGCCTTTAATTCTCTACTGACAGTTATCTTTCCAACTTCTGCATGCAAAAATATCCTCCATACGCTCTGCATTCTTCAGAGTGCTCTCAAAGAAAGCCCCTGATACTACTTTCAAGTGTACAAGATAGCCCAGTGCATTAAGCAAGGATTCCTTTCTAAACACTCCGCCATTGCTGTCAGAGATACAATATATCACTCTAGTTCTGTTGCATACATTGCCTGGGATGTTTGTTTGATGTACTATAACATTAACTGCTCGGTCTTCTGTTTTAAAATCCATCTCGACTAAATTAATCCCAGGAAATGCAAGAGGAGGGAAGAAAAGGACTATCAACAGATGTGCTGGAGAAAAAAAACCACAACACAACAGGCTTATTCATACTCGGCTGGATCTCATATTCCATCATGTTGGACTGTGCTAATCAAGAGCAGGAGTTTATGGTAACTTTTTCTTATATTCACCATATACAGTAAAACTACAAAGCTTTCTTTCATAACTGACAGCTAGTCAATGTTAAAAAAGTCTACCAAGTCCTACGGGGGAAAGTGCCAAACCAAAACATTTTCCTTACTCTTTGCAAAGCTGCCACTTGTGTCCTCTGTGCCCAGCGGCTCGGGCAGAACGCCAGTGACTCACGTCAGGCTGGAGGTTATCCGTCAGCGGCCTGGTGCTCTGTCAGCATTCCAACTATCACCCAGCACCCTCAGAGGTTTTCGCAATTCGTTTGTCCTCCCCAGCCTTCTATGGAATCCCAGCGCTGTTACCAGTAAGGACAGTTTTGCCTTGCTATTCATCCCCTCTCCCCCCAAGCTGCACACATGGTAATTTGCCTCTCTGATGTGACCGTATAAAACCAGCTCAGAACAGTCCAAGATTCTCGTCCTTCTAGTCCTCCACGAAAACAGATTTCCACCCCCCTTCACTGCTGATGGGAGGGAAGAGGATGTACAGCTGCCACATTCTCACTAGAGTGGAGATCTGCTGTAAAACACTTGCCCAATGCCATCTAGTACCAATATCCTCCCCCAAGCAACTCTGAAGACTTTATGGAAACCCTGTAACTGTAAATACTGACTTACGTATTGCACACTGCCATGGTCTGACACGACTCTCCTGTACAGAATTCTGAGATTGTACTATACTGTAAGTTGATGTGATGAAAGAAAGTTGTTGCTGAAAAATAAACACAAAGGAAAGAAATTCAGAAATAAAATACTTTCAAACATGGGTTATCCTCCAGACAATTACTTAAATAGAGCAACTGAAGTGACCTCAGAGTCTTGAGCTTGCATATAAATTTAAAGGTGATTTAGCTAAATGAGTCTAATGGCGAACTGCAAAACAAAGAGGTACACAGAATGAAAGGTCTTGTTTTGATTGAAGATGAAAGCACCATGATGCATCAGCTCTTATTAGTCACTAAGCAGCAAGACTGGAAAGCGTCTGTGTCATCAGCCTCACCTTTACAGCAGAATACTCTACTACAAGCTGAAGGCAAACAATTTGCTATGTTCTTCCAAAGTCAGACTTAAAATGTACAGTGGCTAGAAAACAGCATTAATAGTTCTCATGACATATCTCCTTTTAAAAAAACCAGCATGAAAACTAGTACACTTCTACTTTTTAAAACCTCTCGAGATAATTTAACATGTTAATACTCCTCAGGGGGCACCTCACTTTTTCTTAATGAGTCTCTATAAACTTTGTTAGTGTGCAGTTTAAAGTAGTTTCTTGCTACTACCACACACTGTTGAAAATGTAAACAAGACTGGGTCATAGCTGCAGGTTAGGACTGGTATATGAAGCAGAAGCACAGGCAAGTACTGTAAATCAGAACTGAGATGCACAGATACAGCATTCAATCTCAGTAGCCAGTCACGTCTCTGAGTTCCAGCTTCACTACAGTTTAAATGCACGGTAATTCCACCAAAGCTTGGAAGGAGCAGGGAGAAGAAATATGACCAAAAGACTTCAAAAACTCTGGCTTTAATCACAATTTGCTTTACATACAAGTCTTAATAAACTACCAGTTTTACAATACTTCTGGAAGACCAACAGCTTGAGTCAGAAACGTGCTGAACCAGCCAGTTTAGCAAATAGTCAAATGGAATCTGATGGTCCTCAAAAGAGCATCAAAAAACTTTAATGCCCTCGGTGCCACAGTGAGGGAGCTGGAAGGAGGAAACACATCAAGGCTTCCATGCTGCAGAGCCCAGTTGGTTTGTACATAAGAGCTTAATTACTATTCAAGATATAATGGCATGTATTATGCAGTAAGCATAAATAGTCATTGAGTGTTTTTCTAAGCACTGAAAACAGTAACAAGAAACAGAGTGAATGAACGCCTTCTTGGGCGTGGACAGCAAGCTCAGGGCTGTACAAACACAATACTCACTGTTGCTGGCTAGCCACTCATTGAGGTCTATTTCTCGTGGTAACATCACTAACTCCTTAAATTCGAAGTCAGTAATTCTGGATTTTGTGTATTCTGGCTCTAGGTAAAGCTTCTTCTCTTCCGGTGCTGGCTTTTTACCATTTGGCTTTCCCTTGGATTTCCTGCGAGAGATTAAAAAGAGAGAAGAAAGGTTACCTTTACTGCTGATCAACAGCTACAGAAACCTGAAAGAAGATGGGTTATCCAAATGCCTGTATTTGTGTTTAAAACCCTCCTTCTGCCTTCCCTCCCCTTACCATAATTTTTTTTAAATTAAAGCAGGAGATAGTTTCTTAAAAAGTGTATTTGAACTCAGTCACTATTTTTCAAGTAACGTTGAAGTATAGAATGGTGTTCAGAAACTTGAGACTGAGCTGCTCCACCTCCGTTGCCCTTTCGTCAGTTCAGATTGCAGATTACTGGGAGAGCGACAGTCTCTCTTTCCGCCTGCGACCAGTCGTGACAGCAGAATGGCACAGTGCCTGAAGCAGCTACTCTCATGCGAGAGTACTGGCAATCTGCTGCATCGCACAGTTCACTGGCACCTGCACAATGGGCCTCTGAGGGACAGCAAGAGCGTGCTGCTGCAAGAAGACAGCGCTCAGTCGGAAAAACGCTCTCTCCACACAAACTGCTGGCCCTGCTCATTCAGAGCTACAGCGTTTGTCGCTACTCTAGCCCTATGTTCTCTACGATACCAGAAGCCTTCTGAAGTGAGTACCTGTGACTCCAGCTAGAAGCACAGATAACTACAAGAACACCCGCTTTCTCAACTCCCTGGACACTTGAGACAGAAAGATCAGAGTTCACTTTTTCTGAAAATCCTTTAAAATCTGATGCATTATGAAATAACCTTCCATTTGGATTTATAAGAGCAGACAAACCACATTCTGTAGATGCACTTATCTCCATGACATACTGTGACTTTTCATCTCCCACTTTTACAATGTTTGTTGTAATCGCTGGAGTTCCCCTCCCACTCCGTTTTCAACATCCTCAAACCAGACCCTCAACCCAACTCGTATTCCTGGGCCGGGGGTTCAGTAAGGACTTCTGAGGAAGGACAGCAGGTCAGCACTTTGGCCTTTTAGGCTGTGTGGTCAAACGGCTGTGTATCCATGTGTTTCTACAGTTAAAAAAACCCACCTAACCAGAGACAGAAGGTATATTTAATGGTGAGGGGCAAGTGGAGTAAGGCAGTATTTGCTGTGCACTATCACATGAATACAAGGAGGTGATGCCAGGACTTTTTAACGTCAGGTTTTCTTGGTTAAAGACATTTTTAAGGTCTGTAAAGCCGAGACAAGCCCACCTTTGCAGATGACTGCAGTTAGTTTGCTGTTAAAACTCATCTAGATCCCATTCAAAGGAAACTGAGCTCACATTCTGGCTCTTAACACACTTTAACCTTTCAGCTGTGCCTTGTCTGAGATATATCCAGGCTTGATTTTTGCTGTGAGGATGGGATGCACATCTTTCCTGGAACAGCGTTTGAAGTGTCCGTGCTTTCCCCAAAGAAAGTATGATTATTCTGATTTCTCTCTTTACAGGCTGTTTACTGATCTGTTCATTAAACCCATCTGTAGAATGACTCGTCATCCACATAGCACTACAGTAGGGAGAGACTGAGATTTGCCTTCCACAAGAAAGGAACGCCTTAACTTACTACAACTTGGGTCACCAGCACTGCCACTGTTTACTGCCTTGAACTTGCATTGAGTAGTCTTGTCATACTTCTCTCTAACCAGTAAATTAAGACTAGAGGGACTTTAAGACTTCAGAAAGGCCATCACCAAGGAAAAATCAAGGAAAACTTAGTGACAGCAGCACAAGATATACACTTCCAACCTCACAATGTATTTGCAAACTACATCTGTGCAGAAAAGCACTGTATGAGGTCTCTGGTAGGGAAAAGATGGTCACACTTTTATTTCCGCATGTTAATGTGAAAGGTGGATTTCATGGTGTGAGAGAGGATGCCTGTGACATAGAACATGTTTTTAAAGAATACAAATACAGCATGAGAATAAACTAAAACCAGTGTATGTGAAGATGAATTTAGCTCTTCCCCATTTCCTGCCAACCCCTTTTTCCACAGCAGTGCATTCCAATTCAAATGAAGCCTGCAAGATTTGTCCCTTATGTTCATTTAACGAAGTAACCTGGACTTATTCTCATAGCTGCTCCACAAAGGGATGTTTCAGGACAGGCAAAGTCAGGTGTTCCTCAGTGCAAGGCTTTTAATACAGAGGGGTTGCTCAGTTAGACCAAGACCAACAGCTCCTGGTTGCCAGCTAACTTCTTGTCTTCAAACCCTTACACTTGCTAGGTCTCATTTGAACCTCACCATGTAAAAATGAGCTACAGATAAGAAGGAAAAGTCTATAAAAGCAAGAACTGCAGGAGGGCCTTAAAGGGATTTCAAGAAGCTATGAAAGATAATTAACTTATGCTTGGACCTGAGAACTCAGATTTTCACAGAACGTGAGATGATGTTCAAGGAAAATGTAACAGCATAAAAAACCAGTCTCATTCAATAGTCCGTAATCTGACTTTACAGCAGATGAAGCAACATGTTTAACCTCTTCCTTGTGCAGGAGTACCATGTTAAGACTTGAAACCTTACCCTGACAGTCAGCAGCATAAATCCAGTTGAAACTATGCACTTGGCCGTAAGCTAGTAAAAAATACTCCAGGCCACTGATTTGCTTAATTGCCAGCACAGGCTGCCTTACTCCCTTACGCTGCTGAAACCAAGCCTGGCACACTCCATACAGCACCTTCATACCTGCTGGGCCTCTGACAAACAATATTAATCAGAATATACCGTTTAGAGGTTTTTTCACCTGGTTGGGTTTAGTGGTTTTGGGGTTTGGTGTGGGTCGGGAAGGATTCAGGCACTCAAGGATAAGTTGAATTTTTAAGAAAATTATAGTTCCAGTAACAATCATGCAGAAAATACCTTTAACTTCAGATACTGGTTTGACAAACTGCATTAGTCACACTCCAGGAGAAAAGTTATCAGTGAGAAGTAGTTTGGATAGAACATAGTTTTTGTCTTCACTTTACTTAAACCAAGGGCCCCAGGTTAGGGCTGTGTCACGTCAGGTAAGAGCAGTCTTCTGAGAGGAAGAGGAGGGGAGGGAGAGACAAAGAGGTCAAAGACAGCCTGTCACAGAACCAGGCTGTGGAGGGAGACCACAGAAGGAAGCCAGACACAGGAGGCTGAGGCAAGCCTCCCACTGAATAGAAACGGATAGCATGTACCTCATTCTCACTTCAGCATCTTCTCCCCATTTCAAGAAACGAAACAGAAGTTCAACACTAAATATACTTCACAAGTTTGCTAGTGCAAACAACTAGACGTTGTGCTTTTACAAAAACCAAACCCCTTCATTTCCACACAAATGTCAGTCCTCTGTCAGATTAGCACATGCAGCCACTTTGCATCTTTTCAACAGATCATGCAAGTCTTTCCACAACAGCCTTGTGCTGGAACTGCAGCACTTCAAACAGGAGCTTCTTGAAGGATCCTATGCTTTGCCCTTTCCAAAACTTTGGCTCGGTTTAAAAAAAGAACCTGACTGATGGGTACCATCACTGAACCTGCAAAATGCCCATAACTGCTGATATCAAAGCGTTTATTCACGCCACTGAAACCTGGATGTCAAATCACCATGTGCAGTACAAACTTCTTTTTAACCTTTTGCAGCTGTTGAGAGCTAAAGCAAGACCACAGAAATTGTTTCTATCAGCAGATTTTCATGACGTGCACGCAGTGCAGTTGGGACACTACATGGCTCAAATATTTGAAGTACAAAGTAGAAAAACATCCAGTCTTAAAAACTCAAAAACTTAAGAACAAGTTTTGAACTGGACCACGTATCTTCCCTCAATTAGGCAAAACTTAGGTTACAAAGTCAGACTTACTCATGTTAATTGAGTCATGCTCAGTCTAGGCTGTAAAACTGTGGGTTTAGTTTGGAAACTGTCAATACGAAAGCATTTTTTTCACAGACTTACAAAGCTGGAGCATACAGCAATACAGAGAAAACAGTTTCAGAAACATGATTACATATGATTAAGAATCAACAAGTAATAGTTCCATATTCTAGATAAACCAGAGCTCATACATTCACTTGGTAAAGTTTAGAAGTTAGCTTCCTTCCTTCTGCTCCCCCCTACCTCCAAGTTCACTGTTGTTACAAGACTTGTAAGAACACACCATCTACCTGCAGCCAACTCCAAACTGCAAAGTGAAACATCCATTATTTCCTTTGCTGTTCACGTTCAAGATGCCTTCCTCAATTTTTATTTTATGATTAAAGCATGCAAATATGAAACATTGTGTGTAGCCATTTCTGAGATGTGCCAGAACACCCTTGTAAGTGAAGACTACAGCTGCAAACGTAAAGCAGCACATTCAGCAACAGCTTGTTCAGCCTGCTTTCAATGAAATGAAAAGTGACAAGAACAGTAGAGTTTTACTGTTCTATTCAGGAAACAGCAAAATCCATGACCTGTAGATGACTACTTACTGGAAAAATATAACTAAATGTCATGTAAGACCACAAAAAGGGCACTACCTTTCGAAACACCGCTTTAGGCACCCTAAAGCAAACCAAAGTCCTGATTCATGTTTACCTGTGTCCTTCTTAAAAAATGAGAGAATTCTGCTAAATGTGACTTACCACGCCCACATCAGCTCAACTGTATCTCCAGAGCAGCTGGAAGAATAGCTGTTACACAGCAGTTTGATGAAGGTCTGTCAAGAGGTTAGACCAGAACCTGTCTATCAATGCTTTATTACCAATTAAGGACGGAAACATCTCGAAGGAATCAAAGGAGACAGCTCTCCGTAGTTTTTACTGACAGGCAAACCAGAGTACAAACTAATTCTTCAGATAACTCCCAGGGTAGGTTTGTGTTTGTTTGGTTTTAGGCACTCAATCGAATATGATGCCACGGGCCAAGGCACGCCCATGAGTAAGTTTCAGAGAAGGAAAAGTGATGGGAGATGGCAGAACAGAGATCACTTGTCTGAAGTCTTAGGAGAAGGTTCAGCAAACTGGCTCTGGCCAAAGACAGTACATTCGCTAATGATTCTAGAAGGGCTTCTGTACTCGGCCTTGTGTTCAGCTGAGAAAGCACAGCAGCTGGAAGTTTGACTGGATTTCACTGGAGAAAGAGATGCATAAGACACTCCACCAACTGACAGGCCCACTGGGCTGTAATGGTTTTTTTTTCCCCTGGCCTAACTGCTTTGTTAAGATGGAGTAAAACTGTCAATGTCCCAACTTGTTTTCTTATCCCATCTCAGTTAACTAATCTCGCTCTCATTTCCTCCTTGATCAGATGCCCAGTAGTTTCTTGGCTTAAAAAAACCTCACACTTTGGAGCATCTTCAAAGCACCATCCAGGTATTCAGTTTTAAAACCATATGAGGAAAGTATTATTCCCATTTCATAGCAGAAACTGGCTGTAAGATTCAAAGTTTATTCACGGTACAAATACCAAAGATGTGCTTCGATAGGGTTTGTTTGGAAAGAAGCACATGTGAAGCAATCTGATTTAGCTGAAGAAG